TCCAGAGAATTTGTTATGGCTGTTTATCATTTGAAGGGAGCAATTTGGTCAGGGTAAACAAATCATTGTTGTCTGGCAGGTGTTTGTCCAGAGCTAGCTCTATTTTCTATCTTTGGGGGCAGATTCCTCTGTCCCTTTTTGTAAACATGTTATCAATAAATCCTGTCCTTCCTTAATTTGGGGTGAAAGGCATGGATTTCTGTACCAAAAGCAAAGGAAATACATGCAGCTAATTAGAAATGGAGACGACATAGAAATTCTTTAACTTGTTTATCATATCACACAGGCAATAAATTACTAACTTACCCTCTGAAATGAGAAAAGAAATTTCAAGTCAAATATTTATTTAATATTTATTTTTGTGCTGCTACTGTGGCATGAACTCGGGGCTTGGGTGCTGTCCTTGAGCTTTTTTTTTCTTCTTTTTTACTCAAGGCTAGCACTCTACCACTTGGTCCACAGTTCCACTTCCTGCTTTTTGATGGCTAATTGGATATAAGAGTCCCACAGATCTTCCAGCCTGGGCTGGCTTTGAACTGCAATTCCCCAGACCTCAGCCTCCAAGTAGATAGGGTTATAGATGTAAGCCACCAATACTTGGCTTCAAATACTTATGTATTAAGGGAGTAATATCCTAAATATATAAAGAACTCCTAAAAATTAACAATAGAAATGATTATAAATCAAACAACCCATTTAAAATGGGGGAATGCTTATGAAAAAATTAACATCATTAATAATCACAGAAACATAAACATAAACATAAATTGCGGATAGTTGGCTGTCTTATACCCATTAGTATGGTTATCACATGACCAAAACAAAAACAAGTGTTGTAGAGGAGGTAGGGAAATTGTAATACTTGCATATTATTGATAGACTTTGGAAAAGTACAACTATGATGGAAAATTGTATACTGATTCTTCTACAATTAAAAACACAACTTCATGGGATTCAGCAATTCCACTATTAGCTATATAATATTCAAAAGTATCCAAAGTAGGGTCTTAAATGCTGTTTATATCCACATGTTTATAGCATCAGTATTCACAATAGCCAAATGGTATGAGTAAATGAAATGTCCATTGACATCTGAATGGTTGGTTAAAGCTCCGACCCTGGTCAGATGTTGTGATGAGGTAGAACAAGTCCCTACACAGTGGGCTGTGTGATATTCTTTAGGTCCAATGATCACAGGGATGGGAACCAATAACACAGACACACATCTGGCTTTCTCTTAGCCACCCTGTGCCAGAGACACGGAGTGTTTCTTTGTTTTCCTAGTCCCAGACTGGTTCCAGGTATGTGGGCCTTTGGAGAGCTCACTTTGCCAATACTCCTTCATGAGATACTATTTTTTCTTTTTTGGTTGTTCATGGGGGCTTGAACTCAAGGCCTGGGAGCTGTTTCTAGGCTTTTTTTTTAATGCTCAAGGCTAGCACTCTACCATCTCGAGGCATAGCTTTACTTCTGGATTACATGTATGAGCCACCATCACTGGACTGGTTTTTGTTGTTGTTGCTGCTGTTTTTTAAAATAAATACATGGCTTGGTAGTGAATGTGAGACAAGATAGTCACAAGGACATGCTCCATTCACAGGGAAATGTACCAGGATTCCTCCTCCTGCGCCATGCTTGAGTCATAGATATGGGTAATTTTCCTAGCCTCAGCTGGTCATAGCGGTGTAGGCCTTTGGTTAGCTCACTCTGCTTAGAGTTCCTTGTGGAGCTGCTTGGAGTCCCTTATGGGGAGATGTGTATACTTGCAAACATTGAGCAGTGATCTTAGGACTTTGGTAGGCACAGGGAAGTATATTCTAGCTCCTCTCTTTTACAACACTGGTGGTATCGCTGTTAAATGATTTTTATAATATCCAGATCTGTTCCCTGAGGTTCATTCACTCAGTTGGGAGTTCCTCATGGAAATCTAGGTGGAGTCTCTTGTAGTTTCTACTGTTCAGGTGAGTCCCACATATGGACTGAGGATGAGACCAGTCAAGGATCTGTTTTACACTTCCGAGCTACTTTAAATTTAGAAGCTTCTCTGTTTCTGTACTTCTTTTTGAAGTCTTCATGAAATTTGCAACTGGTAGGTTGGGCAGATTCACACTTGTTTTGCAAGGTCTTTATTTTATAGCTCCATAAGCATGAAGTAGCTGGATATCCAGCAATGTTCCAGAGAGTAGTGGGAGTAAAATACTGGCAGGAGATAACTGAGATGACTCTACTAATCAATGAGATAGACAAGTAAAGGAGGGTCAGCTGTTTTTATTTGTTTGTTATAGTAGCGACACAGATTTAGCCTAGCACCTTAAGCACATTAGACAATAACTTCCCCACTGAACTAAATTTCTGGCAGTTATTTAATTATGATCCCAATGGAACTGACCATTAAACTGATAGGAAGTCACAGACAGAAAAAAATAATACAAAAATATAGAGGCTTACATTGTCTTCCCAAACCTAATAAGTCTGTGAACTATTAAAAAACTGTTTCCACAACTGCCCAATAAATAAATGGGCTAAAGACTTACAGAGAAACTTCTCTGAAGAGGAAAGAAGGATGGCCAATAGACACATGAAGAAATGTTCAACCTCCCTAGCCATAAAAGAAATGCAAATCAAAATAACATTGAGATACCACCTCATCCCAGTTAGAATGGCTATAATCAAGAACTCTAATAATAACAGATGCTGGAGGGGATGTGGCCAAAAGGGAACCTTACTTCATTGTTGGTGGGAATGTAAACTTGTTCTACCACTTTGGAAAGTAGTATGGAGGTTCCTCAAAAGACTCCACATAGAGCTCCCCTATGACTCAGCAATCCCACTTTTGGGCATTTACCCAAATGATCACAAACAAGACCATACTAAAGCTACCAGCACAACTATGTTTATTGCAGCATTATTTACCATAG